AGATAAGCTAATTATGGTAGAGTGGGCAAGTTATTATATGATTTCACTGTGATATGAATAAATGTGTTGATATCTGATATATCCTTTTCAATAATGCCTTTGATTAATATTGTTCATGTGGTCATTAATCTTAGTGATGTATTTATTTCTCTATATTTTTAAAAATCTAGTTCCTACACCCATCTATTTGTAAAAAAAAAAGAAAAAAAAATAGACGTTATCTACACTCGTACACACACAAACACACACACACACACACACACACACACACAACACACACACACACACAACACACACACATATTATATATATATATATATAATAATATATATATATTATATAAATATATTATCTAAGATTTAGAGTTATCTACACTCGTACACACAAAACACAAACAACACACGCACTGAAGAGTCAATACACAGGATCTCCAAAATACATTTCATAATGCATTCTTTCCCTCTCTCCCCCACCCCCCCCTCCATCCTCATCTCCCTCCTTCTCCTCCTCCCCTCCCCTCCCTCCCTCCCTCCCCAAGAGAGGAAAAAGGAAAAACAATTCCTAACTTGAGAGTATTGGCCTTATTGCAGATGAGGCACACCGTCTTCCTTCTCATGTATATCGCTGTCTTATATCACCTCTTCTTTTTTCCCCTCATACATTTTCCTCTTCCCCCCCCCCCCTTTCGGTGCTGCCTAAATTCATGAGGGTGGACTTGTGTTTTTAAATCCTGTGTCTATGCTGCCTACACCCCTCTCTCCCCTCCCCTCTCTCCCCACCCCCGCCTCTCCCTCGTCGCTCTTCTCTTTCTTGTTCGTTGTTTCCCTCATTTTCTTTCATTCTCCTCCTTCTCTTCTTCTTTCATTCTCTTCCTTCCCTCCTTTCTTGTTCATTCTCTCTTCCTTCATTTTTTTCCCCTTTGCTAAATCTTTTTTCGTTCCTTTCTCCTTCTTTCATTCCCCTCATTCTTCTTCCTCTCCTATTCCCTCATTCCTTTTCCTTTACTACTCTTTTCTTCGTTTCTTTACTTTATAATTTCCTCATTTTTTTTTCATTCACTCATTCTTTTCCCTCATTTTCCGTTTTTTCATTCCTTTTTTCATGCCTTCAATTCTCCTCTTCTCCTCCTCTTCTCCCTTGCTTTTTTCCCTCTCTCCCCCTTCTTTCCTTTCTTTCATCCACCCTTACTTTCCTCCTCTTCCCTCCCCTCTTACAGCTCCCCCTCTTCTCCCTCCTTCTCTTCTTTTTTCCTCCTCTCTTCCTCCTCCTCTCTCTCTCATTCCTCCTCATTTCTCCTCCTCTTCCCTCCTCCTTTACTTTTCTTCCCCCTTCTCCTCCTCCTTCCTTTCCTCCTACTTTTCTTCCTCCTCTTTTTTTTCCTCCTTACTTTTCTTCCTCTCCTCCTTCCTTTCTTCCTTCCTTCTTTTTCTTCCCTCTCCTTCTTACTCTTTTCTTCCCCTTCTTTCCTCTCTTCCTCCTTTTCTCTATTTTCTTCCCTCTTTCTTCTTCTCCCTCTCCTTATCTTTCTCCTTCCTCTTATTCTTCTCTCCTTTTCTTCTCTCCCTCCCTCTTTTCTTTCATTTATCCTCCTCCTTTCTTTATCTCCTCATTTTCCTCTCCCTCCTTTTCCTGTCTTTCCTTCCTCTTTTTTTCCTTTCCTCCCCTCTTTTCCTCAACTTTCTCTCCTCCTTTCCTCTTTCCTCCTCTCCTTTTCCTCTTTCCCTCCTTCTTCTTTTCCTCTCTTTTTTTTCCTCCTCCTCCTCTTCCTTTTCCTCCTACTTATCTTCCTCCTTTCTTCTTCTTCTCCTCCTCCTTTTCCTTTCCTTCCTTTTCTTTCCTCCTCTTATTTTTCTCTCTCTCCTCTTCCTTTCCTCTATTATCTCCTCCTTCTTCTTCTTCTTCCCTTTCCTTTTCCTTTCCTTCTCTCTTCTCTCTCATCCTCTTTTTTCCTCCTACTTCATTTTCTCTTTCTTTTCTCGTCCTCATTTTCTCTTATCCCTCCTTCTTCTTCTCCTCCTCCCTTCCTCCTTCTCCTATTTTCTTCCTCCTCCAATCCTTTTCTCCTCCTTCTTCCTCTCCTCCTCCTCTCTCTTCTTCTCCTCCTTCCCTCTCCTCTCCCTCCTTCCCTTACTTCCACGCCTGGAGGCGGACTCCCAGATACTATTCCGGATTTAAACTTATAATCTCAACTTCACAAACACACGCAGACAGAAGAGTCCATGTCAATTGTTATTCTGTTCGATCTCTTCTCCTCTTTCTCTCCTTCTTTCTTTCTTTATCCTCTAACACAAAACTCCCTTCTCCCTCTCCCCTCCCCGCCCATCACCTCCCTCCCACTCCCCACCTCCCTCCCTCCCCCAGCCACCACCCCTACCTCTCTGCCCCTTCCTCCCACCTCATCTTCCTGCCCTTCCCCTCTCCCACCTCCACCCTCTCTCACTGCCCTTCCCACCCCTGGCCCTCCCCTTCCCTCTCCTCCCTCTTTTCTAGCCCCTTCTCC